ATATAATTATATTCCTCTGACTGAAATTAACTGATTTCATTAACAAAACATGGCAATTTTAATTCCTTCTGAGTCTTTTCCCACGATGCATCAATTGAAAATGATTCAAAGGGAAAATTGCTAGTTWGGGGTTGAGAGAGATGCTTCCACAGTGTTTTAGGATCTTCACTAAGATTTTGAGAGRCAGGTCCTCGTGAACATCATTGTTATATAAAAAGGATATCAGAGGTACAATTCCCCATTTTGGRCACAAAGTTTGAGCTACCTCAAATTTGTGAAACAGTTAGCACTACCCAAACACCAGTCTGATATTCCTCAGTAGGAATGCATGCTCCACAGGGCACTTTTAATGCATTTGAATAAACAGCAGACAATCATTCATGCCAGCCTCTGATAAGAGTAAAGCTGAAGTGTGCTGTTGAGAAAAGGCATCCAATTTATCCCTGAACCGACATAAAAACCCCTTATTGAACTATCTGTTCCCCCGACAGCAGCTCCTTGGGTTTTTGGGGTTATTTTAAACTCAAAATTTATTTGGGTTCTGTGGCAATCTGAAATGAAAACCTTTCTGGAATAACAATTGACATGGCAGATTTCCCAACTCCTCTGAGTCAGGGACAAACTCTYTGTCATTCAMTTTAAGGCATAAATTTAAAGTTGGTTTCCAGGAAGAATCTTAACGTCAAATACTGGCTGCATCTGAATCCATCATTGAGCTGAGGCAAATTTTCATTCATCTGGATGACCTATTCCAACTATTTCCAAAATGGGCACATTTCTGGTGAGAAAGGAGGAAGAAAGAAGTGCTAGCCTAGAATTTGAATGAACTTTTAATTTTTCAGTGAAAAAAATTATTCTTTAAAAAAATTTCAGCCTTGGAGTTTTGCACCTTTCTCAATTCTGGGTAAATGTTGAGAGTTTTGGTTTTATCGTCACATATTAAATAAGAAAAAGTCTTCTTAAGCACCAAAGCCCAAAATATGATGACGACAGCAACTCAGAAATCCATACCACTGGAGCATTCAGAGAGTGCAGACAAAACCCATAAAAAAACCAGGTTGAGCTGCATTTTAGTATAGGGATGAAATCAATCCAATTCAATGCTTTTTCTAAGCTGTGATTTTTAAAAATCTTAATSTTTTCACAAAATAAAATTGAAAAAAATATACAATTTTCAGCTTTTCCACCAGCTTCAGCAATCATGAAATATTCTCCCCTGTTGACACTACAGCTTATTTACCTACAGACAAAAAGTCCTTTTTTTTTTTTTAACTTGGCCTCATGTTCTGCCTCCATACAGTTCTTCACATTTAAAAAAGTAAACAGAAACACAAATATCTGCACACAGCTAATGGCAGCTCTGTTGCAGCCATGCTTTCAGCCAAATTAATCCTTCATACCATTTATGTAAGTTGGTTTGGAAAAAAAGATCATATTTACAGACATATGGACATAATAACTGCCATTCACAAAAACCCCACTGACATTACAGTAAGTTCAGATGCTCGGATATAAATACATTTCTAACATCAAATGTAATGTTTTGGGCTGCAAACTGAAGAAACAAAAGATACAACTTTTGTAGTGGTTTTGCATTCTGGAACTGCATTCTTTGTAAGTCAATGATTTCTGTACACAGAAGATCACCCCTGGAGTGGGTTTGCCCTTTACAGTCAAGGTTAAAGTTTCTCTCAAGTCTGTCTTACTTTCCAGAACTCAAATTCCATTACTTTAGCCTCAAAATAATGTTTAAGAGAGAAGATACAGCAGGTGCAATGCTTGGAATTTGCTACTGGCATTTAAAATAACATTTTCAGCACCTAAATTGAAGTGCAAAATTTTGAGTTGAGTGTGGAGTCTTAACAGTGAGTGAACACCAAGGCATATGKCTGTGGAAGAAAAAGGCAAAATAATAATGAAAAGATGTTTTGTTTGACTTTTATTTGCAAAAGAMAAAGATGTGTGAAGGGATAAAACTCAGAAGGAGTAGCAACTTGGATATGGAAGAGAAAGAAATAAGTCCATGGGTTATATTGCTTCCAAACTCAGGGAAACCACTGCTTTCCAAGAATTTTGGTCATTTCTTGGAATGTGCCTAGCCACTCAACAGACAAAACTTAACYAGCCCAATGGAGTGATTCTGTTGCATTCAATGATAAGGGAAAGGATCAACTCTAATCTCACTCCATTTGTATTTTCAGTGACTGTTTAGCACATGGAAGAAAATCACAGCAGCCATGTTCCAAGTGGAATCCTCACTATCAGGTCTGAAGGTTTGCAATCAACCTCTCCAGAAAATAACTTTCCTGTCATCAGCTAGACCTTCAACAAAAAAAAAAAAAAAAAAAAAAAAAAACAAAAAAAAAAACCTACCCTGAGTAACCAAATAAACAAATATCTGAGAGAGTTTTACTCATGCAGTTTTTATAATATGTAACTAAACAAGTGGAATTAGAATTGGAATTTACTCCATATTTACTCTGACAAAAACAGTAATTGACAAAACAATAGCAGCAATCCTCCTGGACAAACTGGGAACAAACTGGGTCTATTCTTCCTCAACCTCYTGCACTGAGTCAAATTTCAATGGAGAGAGGAATTTGCAAAGAACTAATACAGTATCCCCTTTATTTAAATAAAGGAATTTAAAGGACAAAGCTGTAGAAAGAAAGATTTCAWGGGAGTCCTTCCTCCTTTAAAAATGTTTTCACGTTCACTTAATGTCTTTTTGATAGGAACATGAGTTGGTGATTTAGTGACACTTCTGTCAATGTGAAAGGCAAAAAGAACTGTACTGAAGAATGAGCTACCAGGTCTGCTGTTCTCTGAAGGTGCAAGAATGTCAGTCACATCCACTTTAGTCGCTCTCTCCCTCCCATCCTGCCACAGAGAACACCCAGATTCAGCCACTGTCATCTGGCTGTCACCTCAGGAAAAGGTGTTTATCCTCTGATACCTGTCCCTGCCTTGCCTCTCTCCAGTGAATATTCCCATGGCCTGGGATCCCAAGGGACAATTCCAGTACCACACAGTGTCCAATGCACAGTCTTTGTAACCTCCATGGCACAAAATCTTTTTCTGCTCCTACCCAACCATTTTCCCCCTGAGGTCTGTTACACCTCGAATTCACTTACAATTCTGGTTGACTTCTTAGAGACCTGAATGAACCCTGGAYAGACAACTTAAACTCAGTTAATTATCCATGATGATGCACTTCTCCATGGTTACTACCCAGTGGTACCAAAGATCTATTTCTCCTGATGAATTTAAGTCCACAGAGAGCTCAGATTAAACACTCTTGTGGATATTCTTCTTGCTGTTCACTCCCAGGCTGAAGGAGAAATCTCCTCAGACTCTACAGCAGCACATGGCTCACAGGTATTTACCATTCATGTCACCATGCAGTGTTAGATGTGGAAATTAAAGGGGTTAAAACAAGGTTGCCATGTTGGTTCCAATTTTCATGGGGGAAAAACACCCCTAAGGATGATTTTGYCTGCAATCAGCCTAAGGAAACATTTCCTAAGCTCTTGGATATRGGCTGCTGCTCTGCTTCATTACAAATTAGAGTCCACTAAATCTCTAGTACCTTTAGCACAGTCAGGATTATATATGTAATTAAATCAAATGGTAAAAAAGATCTGAAGAACTCRTATCTCATTCTCACAGGACCATCCTTATCCAGTAAGACCTGAATTAAAAAAAAAATAAAAATCAACATTTAGTACTCTGCAGAGGGAAACACAGGCAGAATACCAAATGGATATTTAGCTGGGGCAATCATTTGGAGGGCTTGTGAAACTATCCCACATTCAGTTTTCTAATCAAGAGTGCATATGCATCTTAGGTCTTCCACCTTTTGCTRCAATTCTTTCCCTAGTTTTCTTTGGGAATTTTGTGCCAATTAGTCAGGATTAAGGTCATCCACAAACATCCATGTAGTAGGAATATAAAATATGAAACATCACCACCCCTTTTAGATGCATRCATTTGATAAATATTCAGAGCATCTGAACATAGCTTGACACAGAGGCAGTAATGCAAATAATTTGATAAAGGCCATTCAAAAGCTCATAAAAAACCTTGCAGATTTAGAAACTAGTTAGCAAACTGTGAGAACCTAAACATTTCTTCCACTTTCCCAGTGACACTAAAGTATAGCCCTCACAACTTGTCCGAAGCTGTCCTGTATTAGTTTCCAAAAAATATATTCATAATAAACAAACTTCTACATACAAATGAAATGATTAAACCATACTTTGAGACTTAGGATGATTGGAAAATAGCAGCGTTTGCCCAGAGAAATCTTCATTTAGWGCAATGTTACCCATTCCAACAGCTTCCTTCTTCCTCTCAAAAATTATTTTGGGAATCCCCAGGAGGGGTTCTGTCTCTAGCACCGATTTCTGATCTGTAGATATGTTCTAAGATTATAAACCAGACACTCAGAAATTAATCCCACCCTTGCTAACAGAACAAGAAACGTTTCTCTCCCCAACTTATTTTGTGTACAATTTTGTGGCTCCCAGCATCTYTTCCTATTTTTTTCCCCCTCTGATGCCAGAATTACCGCCCTTGCCCTKGATTTCTCACTCCCAGACAAACAGCCTATAAAATTGCCGCAAGAAGCCAAGTGCTGCTTTTCACACAGCCACAGCCAGACTCCCTTTACTGCACACACTCTGCGCAGAGCATCCCCGCCAGCCTGCGAAGGAGACAGAGGATAATGCTACCGCCGAAATGCCGACAAGCCCCTCCGCGCACAGGCTGAAGAGAAAACGGGAGCAGGGCGGCTCTAAAATCGGAGAGCGCATCRCGTATTAAAAAGTAACTTTTGGGCAGCGCCTTGCGAGGCTGAGCAGCGGCGGGGAAGGGCAGCACGCAGCCACATGGTATATYCCTGGCCGTGGCTGTGTGCTGTCGCTGTCCGGGTGCCCTGTCCCCCGGGCTGTGCCATGGGAGCCGCTGGCTCGGCGGGCAGSCGGCAGCTGTCACCCAGCGCGGACAGCCAGCAGCCGGCCCGGCCACTGAGCCTACGGTGCCATTTAGGATGACTCACTGCAACCTGCCGCTGATTCCTCCTTWGCTGACAGTGGACGGACAACAACCCAAAAGCTACACTGGACTAGACCAAGGTAAGAGATTTAAGTGTGTTTTTTCACCCGGCGCTTGCAGGGTGCCGAGCTGTGTACAGAAGCTGGCGCTGGCACTAATTCTATGGTGTCTGAACACCTGGCATTACATGCCATCAGTGTGTCTTTCTGCTGTTAACCCCGTGTGTACCACCCAGCTATCCCGGGGGGGAGAGACGGCAGGTCAAAATATAACCYAGGGGCTGCATTGTCTCCCCTTAATGCAACTTTTGCACCTGCTCCCCGTGGATACGAGAACCTTTTCAATATTGCTAAATGATGAGGCTTTTGTGTCGTGCTGCTGGGAATGGAGCGTACCCGCGTCTGTCATGGACTCCGTGTGGATTCATTCCCACAGCAGTTGTTTCATCACTTTAATGAGTTGAAATTCCACAGTGCACAGAAACGCTTCCCTGTCATTGCCCCTCTCTCTGAGGGCTTCTCACATAGATGCGATCCATTTTCAGGCTTTTCACAAGTAGTGCTCGCTGAAAGCACCAGAGCAAGTCTGCTGAAGCACAGGCACTGCTGCACTACATATTCTGTCTGCATTCCTCTCTGGGTTTTCTGCTGTGAATCAAAAATTCAGCGTTGCAGGAGGATTTTTGCAAGGACAGTAAATGTCTCTGGCACAGCAATTTAAAGTGAAGGGAGAAGCTGCTTCTCCCCATTCCGAAATCCTGGCAATCTTCTCCTTCCATTTTCCGAGGAGGTACAGTATTTCTAGCAGAGTTATCTAAGGTTTCTGCTGGGGCTGATTGACAGTTTTTAGTTGTGATTTTAATGGAAATCTTTCACTGAATGTCTACAGCTTCATTTCTGTCAATCCAATGCTTTTTACCAAATGGCTTTCTTCAGAGGGTGACACCTTTAAAATGAATCCAGCATCATGMTTTTCTAGATCTGTAAACAGAGTATCAGACTAGCACTGCACATTGCAGAACCCCCCAGCMTTACCCATGGATCTTTAATGGTGTAACTGCAGTGGAAGACATTTGGTTTGGTTTACAGGTTTTCTGTACTGTGCAAAGTGTCACAATTGTAACTGAATTTATCCGTGTTTCGTATACATTATATGGTATTTTTCTGCAGTTTCTTACTCATTCTGTTTGTTCAGATCTTCCRTGTACTGGCACTAGGTTTATTAAGGGTTGACTCTTAAACCCACCCAAAACTGCCCTGACTTTGCTGCCATGGGGAGGACTCTCTGCTCAGGGAAGATGASAGATCCCACATTAATCACCCCCATGGAGGGGACCAAACAGGTATCAGCAATTGGCAAAGAAACACCACTCAGCTTCCCAGCAGCCACCCAGACCCACAGGCTGTTGACCCAGCAGGAATATTTTTGGAATTAACTCAAACATGGCACCAATGAACAATCCATGCRCTCTTTAAAATGGATTAGGGGAAAAAAAGATTTTTCTTTCATAGAATTTTGAGGGATTTAGTACAGAGCTTTGGGAAGGGGTAGGACAATATGTTGATGTGTCAGCATGGATTCTACACATCATTTTCTATTCAGAATAAGGTACAATTTTCCACTTGTAAAAGTGGAAAACATTYACCACTATTATGCATTAGGATTATTTCTAGTCATTTGAACAAGTGTAGAGACTTGAATTTTTTTATTTACTGTCTTCTCTTAGCATTTAGATACGATGCCTGACTGCAAGGGTATCAGATTATTTCCARGGAAAGTAATTCTAAAGTACAATTCAGAGAACAGATTATGTCTTTATGCAGTTGATAATATTCATGCAACTTATTTTTGAATTAGTACCTATTTATTTTAYACTAGCTCTTAGTCACTTGCTAGTGAAGCACATGCCATAGTCTCTGGGGTCTGAACAGCTATTTTTGAGCCTGTCTGGCTAATGTCTAGAATACAAAATTATCCAGTTCACAAACTGGGGTTTTCTGTGTTTTCTTTCTTCTGAGACATCAGTATATTATCAGTTTGTATCTGGGTGGCTCCTTTCAGGTGGAATCTCAGTCCATTTAAATGCAGACAATTTACTGTGATAACAGTTTATTGTAACTTAGCAACAAGAGCTAAGAAAAAAACCACAACCAAGTCACATCCATCACACATGCAAACCTTGTATTGTGCTGCCCTGTGCTCAGCAAATTAAACCCCTGAGATAAATGACACTCTAGACCAGTCAGTTTAATATCATTAGCTGGGCTGGCCAGTTGTTCTAATTACAGAAGTCAAAGAGTGCAGGAAGCAGCTGCAAAGTCAGCACATGTGCAAGGAGYTGTTTGTAAAGCAGAAACACGCTTTGAGCCTTTTTTGCTGCAACATGAATTATGAAGGAAACATATGGCATTTAGTATCACTGACAGAAAAATGGTCTGGCTGTGGTCCAGGTGGCAAGACTTGTATGAGTGGCAYGGGGTTATCGCTGGTCTTTCTGTGAAGCTTCATTTCTGGTGTAATGTTTTCACTAAAATAAACAAACAAGCACTTCCAAAGCTATTTCTCTATGGTCAGGCTCTTGGGTCATTCATTTACTGSTGRTGTGGGAGGACAATATGAGGAAAAYTAGCACGATGCTACCTACTGTCCTGTTTTACTCCAAATGGAGAATCCACTATCAATGAAACATCTCCAGGGAGCAAGAAGATACATTGCTGGTGTGCTGGAATTGGGAGGAAACATCCCTATGACAGAGACAGGCTCAATTCTGGAGCTCTGATTAAGCCTAAAAGATGAAATCAGCCACAAACCAGCCAAAAGTAGCCTCAGGCAGCTGCTCAGATGGGTGGCCAGGAATACCCTCAGCTCTGRGGCATTTCACCTCCACAAACTGAACTCAGGAGAGGCAGAAGTTTTGCTGTGGTTAGTTAAGTGGATTCATTCTTACAACTGATTTTGTTTACAAAACAAAAATGTTCAGCCAAGTTCTTCCCCTCAAAAAATCGGCTTAAATAGAAGGTGTTTCACACTTCAATTCTCTGGTATTTCTGTGTATTTCATTTGCTCATAAAGCTCCACCCAAAGATGGAAAACTCTACACAAACTAGCAAGGTTTTACACATCAGGAACATAMCAGCTCTTGCTAACAACCTCTAGAAAGGTTCAAATTCACCCCAACTACTTAAAACACCCCAATACCCCATATTCTGCACAGAGGCCTGCAAAAATGGATAAAGTTTAATCTCCATTGCAGCAAACACCCTTAGCCACTTTCACAGTTCTCTGTTAATGTCACTGTAACTCCCCCAACTGTAGATCCATTCCCTGCACCCTGAACAGAGTCAAGATTACCTCCTCCCCACTGCACAGCACTTGGCTCTAAGGTAAGCAAACTGCACCAACAGGTAACATTCTGAACAGTTCTAGTAATCATCATTAAGATGGTCCTCCAAGTTGAATTTACACAGGCCCTACTTATAGAACAGGGGACATTTTGCACACTTGCTATATTGCTTTCCAGGACTTTCTTGTAACATGTTCTCATTCTCTTCCATTAAATTCTGTATTATTTCTGTACAGTGGTCTGTATTTTCTCTGAAATAAAACACCAGTGATGCAGATTCCAAGGCACCATTTTAGTTATTTTTTGCTCAAACAAAATAAAAACAATATTGTCTTCACCACAAAGTAGCCTTTCCCATACTCAAGCTTGGTCATATAACTTGGATTTGTGAAAACAGATGCCTTTCAACAACAAAACCAACAGGAAAATACTTTCTTTTTCTTCTCATTCATTTCATTAACATGCAAAAAGTATTTTCACTCAACATCAGCTTGCTTGTGTTCATCTGACTGTAATTCAAATTTCAAAAATTACGAGGAAGCTAAGTATGTACTCTCTTTAGGTTTWGAGGAAATTTTATTACTGAACTGTTGGCTAGTTTAGGAATGTTGTGTTAAAGACTCTTTTCCATCTTTCACAATGGAAAGACTCAGTTTTTTTCCTGAGTTATAAACATTACAAATTCTGTCATGAAACTCAGAAAGATAAAACACTCAGAAATCCTATGAAGCTGTGTGCTGTATACACATACACGTGCATGTATGACACCATAAAAGTTCCAGATCCTAAAGAAAAAAAAACACCTTCAAAGCAGAAATAAAACCATGGCTTCACAAACCTCATTTGAGGCGAGGTTCTAGGAAAAGAGTAAACCTAGAAAGGCATCCTCACATAAATAGAACATGGAAACTTTGAGCAGAGTAGCCTTTCTTCAGTTCCTAAACATATATAAACTCTGCCTTGCTTACAGCCCCATCCTCTCAACTGTACAATCACCACAGATCATCTCTTAATATGCTGAATTAYATAGTGAACAAGAAACTATCCCATAAACTCCAGGACTTCCTGGGGACACCWCTGGGTGCTTGGGGCAGAACAGTGCCATCCCCTGCCAGGAGCCACCTGGCACTGTGCATGTCCCATCTACTGCTCTTGGAGAGCAGAACAGAACAGAACTGGGCCAGGACAGAGCTAAAATAGACAACCTCTATATGACCAGGAACTGCAGAMAGCACCTACTGTGTTACAGCTGTTAACTCCTCTGTGGCTGGGAACTGATTTGAGAGGAAGGGAAGGAACACAGAAAGCCTCAGACATCTAAGATGTTCCCTAGTTTCTTCACCAGGGAAATTACACAAAGAGTWAATTAAACCCACTGTGTATGGTTGGAAATATTAGCCTGACCTTGGTGTTTATTTATCTGGTGTGAAACAGCTTTAGTGATTCTATTTACGCCTTTACATTTCTCTCATTGTTTTGCTCACTGTTTTCTGTTGCCACTAGTATTATTACACTTTTGGTATTAGTAATAAAAYAATTACTGAGCCCCTCTGCTGTTTAATGGGTTTGAAACCTCAGGAGYTGAAAATAATCAGGTTGAATTTTTCTAGTTACAATGAAGTTGGATACTTGATAAAAAATGAAAAAAAAACCCCAAAACCAGTAGAAAGATCCATAAATATTAAAGTCAAATGGGACCTGAATGAGTCTGACTTCCAGCATACCACAGCAACCCTG